ATTTTTCAATACTTGTGTTCGTTTATATATATATAAATGAACAGTTATTAAAAAGCTTCCACAGTTAGCTTCTAATTATTTTAATTCAGTCATTAGGTAGATAGGTAAGCTGATAATTAATCGCAAGTCGTAAGTTAATGTTATAAAAAAAAATTACAGAAGAAATATTCAAAGCATAAGCAATATATTAGAGACTTTCAATACTTGAATATATATTTCTCAATATTTCTTCTGTAATTTCTTTGGATACTGAATTTAAATAATTAGAAGCTAAATGTGAAAGCTTTTTAATAACTTTTTAAACAAGTTAGTCTCGGGTAACATAGTTGAATCATTTCTGTCAGAATTGTTATACAGACGGGAATTATTCAACTTCTTTTAGACGCGGGGCAGTCATAAACCTGTTAATGAGCTTTCAGTAGATAAAATAGTTAATGTAGTAGATAAAATAGTTAACACTATTTTTATCGAAATTTACTTTGTTATGGACCTGCATGCAAGCCTGGATGTCTACAACATCCAGTCCGGCCGAGAGTCCACGCGTGCATCCTAACAGTTTTGTTATTAATCCCTCCCGGTTCGTCAACAGCTTGAGGTATGGACATTTGAAATTTTCTTTTATCAATTACGCAGTTATCGCGAAAAATACGTAGTAGAATAAATTTTTTTAAAAAATGGAGATTGTCAACAAATTCTGAAGATTTCTTAAACTCTCGTTGAATTTATCAATTCGTAAATGTAAGGATAACAAAAGTTCCCTGAATACGAGATAAAATCACCTAAAAATGTAAAAAGAAATCGCGTTCCAAACCGTACTGTCCCCTTAAATATTGCTCGACAAATATTGATTGTAACGGGAGACATTCGTTCGACCTTCTCATCCCCCGGGGTATCCTTTCTTCTTATCTTCCTTGTACTGTACCTTGCTCCATGTTGTCGGAGATTATGCTCGAGCCGTTCGATCGAAGAGTCCGCATATTGGATTCTTGGATAAGCAGAACTCAAACTAATCGAATGAAAACATATCGGTGCTGCGGCGAAATAAAGCCGCACGAAAATCTTCGATAAATGGTCAATTCCGTATATACAACCGAGAGCCTTCCTAAAGAGGCCTCGAGCATCCTAATTCCGAATCGAAGCCGAGACTACGCTGTAACTCGCAAATAGTCACCCGGGGACGCTGTAATTTGGCTCTGTTGGCTACACGCGTTTCTTCACTTTAATAACTAATAAAGCCGGCGGAGCACCTCGCCGCCGGTCTGCGAGATGAATGATACATCTTGTCCAAGATGTACAATGTCGAGCTGGAGTTAAGACTAGACCCGAGCATTAAATCGATGGAAATAGCGTCCCAAAACTTCCGACAAAATTGAGTTAACTGTTTTAGATACCGGAAAAATTGCAACACTTTTCTCGCATCTGCAAATATTTCGAAAGACAACATTCTCCACGGAGAACTCAGATTCTTTTCCCTGCATCGTGGAAGATAAGCCTCGCGCAAATAGGATACATCAGCATAAATCACTGCCGCTAGAAGTTAAACTTCTGCCGTGATCTAACCTTGCTACATCAATCACCTTCCCCCAGGAATTTCGTCTCTCCATTCCTTACGAAAGCGTTCACCGATCGACGAGAACGGGACAAGATACCGCCGTGTAAAACGTGTTAATTTTCGGAAAAATATTCGCAACGCGTGCCCTTGGGGTGTTAACCCCTTGAGAACCGTTCGGGGTGCGGCGAAATCCCGCCGTCTGAACCGGCCGGTGGATCATCTCGAGATAAGAAGGAACTACTCCATCAGAGCCGGCGTTCTCGCAGCAGCTAGGCTAGGTGTCGGGCGAAACGAGGGTTGTCCGCGCGCGTACGTGGGGGTGTACGATGACGGAGCCGGGTGACGGTTTTCGAGTGTCGGCCAGGCGGGAGGGTTAAAAAGGGGGTTGTTCGTCGATGCTGGGGCGGCGGGGCTGGCCGGCGGGGCGAGCGGGGCGGCCAGGTTCGTCGGTGGGGGGATGCGAGGGGTAGGGGGAAGGTCGGTGGCCGTCGGTGTGGGATCCTAGTCGAATGCCGGATCCGCGGTGGTAACTTCAGTGCGCGATCAACCACCGACGTGTGTTTACGGTCGGAGCTCCAGCGGAAGCTGCGAGGCCTGGCTGCTGCGGGGGTGAGAATTCTTTTCTTTCCTTTGTCGATCTATGGATCTATCGCCGCCAATCGAAAACCGCCGCCACCGCCGCCGCCACCATCGCGACCACTCGAGAAAAAGTGGGATTTTTTGCGCGTGAACATCGATCTCGTCGTCGACGCCGCGGTCCCTCGATCCCCGTGCAAAAGTGAATCCCACGAGCCTGGAGGGTGAGATCGTGCTCGGGGGGTGAGTCCGCGATGGACAATCTTGAAACCGGGACGCGGAGGATCGGCCACGTGTTCTCGACGCCGCTGTCCCGGGCCAGGACTCTAACGAGCCGCTGGACTCGTTAGGGGGCCCAGTCGGGCCGACTGGGATTTTCCTGGCGACTAGTTCCATCGGGTCCCTTGCCGCGTCCAGCGAGCATGATCCAGTGACGAGTGCGGGACAGGTTCGGTCGACGACGAGTCCTTCGGGGCGAGCACCGCGTCCCCGAGGTTCGCTTAGGACTCGGCAATTTTCTGCAACGTTGTTTGCGTCAGGCGTCGTTGTGTGCCAGGTTTTGTGCGATCTTCTCGGTCTTAGGGATCGTTCCATCCACGTGGATGCTTCGGAACCACGATCGCGGGATGTTGATCTTGCGAATAAAGGTTGTTCGCGGAAATTGAGTAACGATCCTTCGCGAGTATGAGCAAGTGGCGCGAGATTTAGGGTATGTGTGAAGGATCGACGTTCGCGAAGATTGGCGTTGAAACGTTGGTAGAATTCAATTTTTCGAGAGTATAGCGTCGGGGAGAATTGCAATGGCAAAATAAATTTGTAGAGTTTTTAGGTGGTTTGAAGTCTGTCGAGTCTTAACGCACGTGTCTAGTGAAGATTTCGTGTCTATGGAGTTTCAAGATGGCATCGAGCTAAAAAAGAATTTTTCTCGTCTCAGTAGAAATCGTAGTGCACGCTAGAGTTATACTCGAACATTATAATTTATTGTATCGAGAAAATTGCATTGATTTTTAAGTCCATCTTTCAATCCTTCCAAATTCTTCGTTAAATACGCTGCAAAGTGGAGTAAAAAGATCACATCAGGAAAAAACTAAAATCATTGAAATGCAATTAATAACGAGCCAAAAGTTGTAATTATTATTATAATAATTATAATTATTATTATAACTGTTATCGCTATTAGAACATTCTTCGTAACAAAGGGCCCACCCCGTTGACACAATAAACATAATTAGTTAATTAATTGAAAGTAGGAAATGCTAAATATATATTTCGACGGGTCGGAATTTCAATTTCTCTTTGATTAAGAAAACGTAGCACATATTGTTTCTACGACTGTTTCTGCTCTCGAACTGTTCAAAGTATTTCAGGATATTGTAATTCGCGCACGTGGATGTAACACGTGGATTAGATCCGCCGCAACGCCGATTATTTTCAGGGGAAAATATCCGGAACGGGAGTTCCGGGGTCGAAACTCGAAACTTTCGCCTAATCGAGACTCCCATGCCCGCGAGTTCCCCGACCTGGGTCCTTTACATGCCGATGCATCGATTCGATCGCGTTTACTTATCCCGGCCACTTTTTATCGTTACGAAGAAAGTTTCGGAGGAGTTGTTAGGAAGTTATGAACCTCGCCGGGTTCTCAGGGTCAAGGTGTCGATATCGAGCACCCGCTTCGCTTTACAACACCGTGGTCTATTCAGGGCAAACTTTCGGACGCATTATCTGCGGAATAAAATAGTTGCGCGCGATTCAATTGCTCGACGCGTTGCCTGAAAATTGCCCGAAATTTGTGGACAATCAACCTCCTCGTTCGGCTCCGATGAATTTTCGTTTAATACAGCTCGTTTACGAGTTACGCGAATTTCTCTTCGTTCGATAATTTCTTATTTCCAGATATTAATTGTTAACATTAGATTTACGGAGCACAAAACACAGCTGTATTTTGTTAGTTTATAAAAGTGACAATGAGACATTTATTCTGATTTTTAGCGAGTGTTATTGTAACGTTTGCCGTAAGTAACATACGAATTGAATAAATAACTCGTAAATGTATTTTTAAGATGTGAATAATCATAAATTAAAAAATTAGTTGTTTTGAGGGGTTCCGTAAATCTAGTGTTAAGCATGCTCGATCATTCCATAGTCGCATGTGTGATATGGAAAAGGAAAATTCCTCAACGGGATAGCGCTTTGAATTACGAATTGCCTCGATTTCTGATTCAATTCAAGATAATTATTTGGCGATATCCATTCAGTTACTGATCTAGATATTGTAAAATCGTTCGTTTCTGATGCAACTCCTCGAAATACGAGATTATAAAAACGAGTGAAGAATTTGTAACATTTCTGCGGCCAAGCTTGTAAGTGCAAAAACTGAATGTCTGGGCGCAATTTTCGTAATATCAATCGCGCTAAGTAAAAACGAAAAAAAGTGAAGTTTACCGGAGAACGTAATCTTTGTTCGCGTTTTCGAAGCGCGGCACGGCACGTTTTTGTCTCCGCTTGAAGCGAAGGCAAAAACCGTTCGAAGCGTTTTCGGTGCTTCGTCCCACATAATTTCGGCCGAGGCGTTCGGCGCGGATATTTTTTTTCTTTATTCTGCGCCGAGGACGTTTGATTGCGATCTGTCATTCGGAACGAGCGTAGGAAATAGGTCAGCCGAACTGTTTTCAAGGGTGTGTCTCCGCCGCGTGAAAATTCGCGGTACGTAGTAATCGTTTGATGCCGGCGCGCGAAAAAAAGGTTCCGGGCGGAGGGTCGAGACACTTTTTCAAACGGTGCCGAGGAAGCAGGAAGACAGAGAAGAGAGCCAGAATCGACCGGGAGAAGAGATTTGCCCGTGACCGAATGTTGAACACGTTCACGGGAATTCCTGATTAGCGTGTCGATGAACGCGCCGCGGATGTGCACCGAAATCAATTGAAAAATGAAACGCGCCGTTACGACGCGTTATATGGTTATTTAATGGGATAGAGGTCGAATCCGACGTCTCTTGAAACCGATTAAAAACATGTCGTCGAATGGAAAATGTTTTCGAAGCGTGATTTATTTGACGAAGACCGCGTTAACCCCTTAAGCCGGTTCGTCGTACGTCAACCACCATTGGTTGCCATGTATGTATAAAAACGCAGTATTATATATAATATATATTAGTATTATATATATAATATACGAACACATATAATGAGAGTGCTTCGTTAGTATACGGTTGCAATTCGAGCATTAGCAAAATCTTTTTGTTTTATACAAGATTGAATATATTATTTATTATAATATCACTAATATAATATTACTAATATAATAGTATACTATATAATAATATTATATAATAATTATATAATAATATTATATTATATGTATATATATCAATCAATATAATAATATTATTATATTGATATTAATTATAATACCACTAAAAATAATCGAATTCTCATATATTTAATTACTGGCTTGAGCAGTCAAACGAAGGAAGACACAACGGATTTTAGCGAAATGCTTCTGATGATTTGTGAGATTGTGGTGCCATTGTGTTTCAAGGCAATGAATAATAAATAAGTTCTGTTAGACAAATCGGAACAAAACCGATATAATTCTCTGTGATATTGTTTCTGCATCAATGATTCGCACTCGTCGAGTTTTAGAATTGTTGAGTAACAGTTTGATTGACTGACAAGTATATGAAATATTAATAGAACGTCGAGCACCTCAAAGGTGTTATCTCTGGGCTGCGGCGAGTTCGTCGACCGATAGTTCCGCCCGCTTCGCAAATCTGAAGTGTCCGGGTACGTGGAATTCGGGGAAATTCAATAATCCTGTTCATTATCTGGAACTATTCTAATTTTGACCGATGCGGGAACGGATCGATGCGGGTCGGACGGCATAATTATTCCGTAATAAAATTTTGATGGCCGCCCGGAGCAGGATTTAATGAGCAATAATGGAATCTAAGGAATCCCGGAACGGCGAAGTTATAATGATTTTTCCGCGGCCGGCCAGATTAAAAGGCGAATACATTTCCATTTTATGGACTGTTTTAGACGATCTCTCCTCCGCGGTGGATACGGCCGATCAATAATTCAGAGATTCCCGCGCTTGTCCGTGTTTCCGCGGGGAAGAATGGTTTTTCCGAATTCCTCGTAAAACAGTACACCGCCGTCGTTTTTACTCGCGGCAGTAACAACTTTATTCGCGGCCGAGCATCTATAAAATGATCGTAAAGCGTCGCGTACAAGCGCGTTAAAAAAAAATTCGGGGAGGCGCGGGCCGGGCGATGTATCGAATTTTCGTTTTTGGATTATCCCGTTTGCACCGCCCTTTCATGTTTTACGAGTCTCCCGCGGAAATTGTTTCTCGAGTGCAATGAGGTGTTCGCGAGCTTCGGTGTTCGATGTTCGGCTGAAACGCAATTGAACACGGACGACGACGGCGTTAACGGTAAAAATGTACTAATGTCGCGTCACGTGAAATCACGTGACATTCAGCCAGCTTATTTCTATTACCTCGAATCTGTTAGAAACAGATCTGACGTTAGAACAAATTCCACGTGATTTCACGTGACGTGACATTAGCACAATAAAATATCAATTAAATTAAATTATAAGGCAAATATGTTGCTTCGTTCAAAATAAATTTCATTCAGATTTAATTGCACAAATAAATTTTATGATTGGATTTTTTACTTTAAATTGCATTTCACGAGCAATCAAGAAAATGACTATTTTTAGTCATTCGGGCCTTAATATTATACCTCTTATATAATATTATATCATATAACATATTGTATAATATAATATAGTATAATATAATTATATATAATATATTATTATAATAATATATATAATATTATTATAATATTATACTATGTTATACAATATTATATTATATTATACCTTAACATTCGTTAACAATTCATTCTCCGTAACATTCGTAACATTTAATAACACGTTATATTAATCCCGGTTGAAAATGTTCTTCTTAATGATGCAAAACGCTCTCGCTGATGTCATCAAATTTCAAAACTATTCATCGGAACA